ATGCAATGTAGAGAAAAATATCCCTGTGGGTCCGCTTTTTAGCTCTTGTAGTAAGAGTGATGTCATTTAAAGCAAGTTCGTATTTAACATTGCATTACCACACTAAATTCATTTTATTTAAAATTTTAGAAAAAATCTCTCACAAAAAGCATTGCCAGCAAAGAAAGTACTTAGCATAAAACTTTCCGCCACTGGTATGTGCTCACGTGAAATATTTGTCATATTTTCACACTAAAGAACCAAGAAAAAGGCACACAAATTTAGCACTGCATAACGCCTACAGGTAGACAACAGCAACCAAATAAAAAATTGAAAAAAGTATGAAGAAAACAAAAGTGTGCACAAAAAGAGAAAGGGAACATATTACAAATGGAAAAGGACAAAAGAAAGCATATGCTTGTCGCCTAGCATAAAGCGCACCGGCGCCAAGCATGCATACCCAGGCAGAGAGACAGACACACACACGCATACAAGTGCCAGCGCCTAAAAGTATGCCAGCATCAACAACAACAGCAGCAGTAGCAGCGGCATCACAAAAAGTTAGATACACGCACCAAAGAAGTGTGACGACGAGCATTGGCAAAAATGCAAAACAAAAAACAACAACAACAACAACGGCAAACATGCGGTAGCAACACAACAGGNAGTGTGACGACGAGCATTGGCAAAAATGCAAAACAAAAAACAACAACAACTACAACGGCAGAAACACAACAAGAATTGTCAACGCATGCTATGCATTGCACAAATGTATGCTGCATATGTTGCTTGCGGTTGCACCTAAATGTATGCATATGTCAAGCCAGTCGGCTGCTAAGGATTGCTTTGGCTGGCACGAAACAACAAATGCCAAGCTCGAGTGAGCGTGCATTTTTTGTGTGAAATGTATGGCATTTTTTTCGAGCCTGTCGCCGTTAGGTATTGTCAAAGCACTACTCGCAGAGTTTCATTTGTAATTGAAAAGAAAATGGAGCATAACCAAAAAATCACTCAAAACATAAATAATTTTTTTCCCACATGTAATGGGTTTCCAGAAACTGCTTTTCTCAATTTTCGTCCGAAAAAATTTTCCCTAAAATATGCAACGTGACAGCCTCAGATATGCAGCCTTTATTCACGTGGCGACTTTTAGAATCCCATAACCAGTTCAACAACGAGAATTTTTATAGGTAAAGCCTTATGAAATTTACGCGTCTATACTAGAACATTCAACCACATCTTTCGTCAAATGAAATTGTGTTCCATGCTGAGCTAGGTTTAAGTTAAGATGAAGTTCCAATAATTATATTCATGCCTTAATAAGGGCGCAGTGAGATCTGCGGTTGCTTCAAGAATCCTGAAAAAGTTGACTGAAAAACCATGTCGTC